GTTGCTGGCTGGGGCTAAACCACGACAGAGAAATATTAGAGACCCAAAGTGTACACTAGCAGAGAAAACTTGGTGCATAGGTCCAGGATCCCAGAGTCTGTAATACCACACAGGAAAGGGCTATCAAACACCAAGCTAAAAAAAGCAACATTAGAAATAACACAAATCACAGAATGACGTCAAATAGCCTTTCAGCCGCCAAGCAGTGCTGGGAACTGAACAAATCAACATGCAAACTGCTTCATACATGACGTGGGAAACAAAGGAGCAGAGACATTAGGGGCTGACCTGAGGACGGCAGTAATGTATGTGAGAATGAATGCAGTCCCGCTGCCAAAGTCACAAAAAGCATCTTTTGTCTTGTTTTGGGATGTTCTTAAATTAGAATGCAATCCCATACCTTTATCTACTTCCAACTTTTAACAGATAGTTGCAGTAATAATTGCTCAAATTCTACATGAGTTTAGCACATGAGTAAATAGCACAGTTCAAAATCTATTAAATGGAGGTAGAGAATTTAGTAAAGTAAGCAAATATCATTTGCACCACTAATGAAAACTTGATAGTAGATAAATAAGAGGAGGAATGATGTTAAATTAAAATAAAACAAATTAAAATATCTGTCCATTATCTGTTTGATGGTTCAGTACACTATTTCAACCATGTGACATGATCTGAAAAGAAGTGAGAGAAATCAAAAATCAAGAGGATTTTGCAAATGGAAAAAAACAGTAGGCTTAAAAAAAAAAGGCTAAGTAGCAAACGCTTAGTGAAGGGTTAAAAAAACAGAACGGTATTGAGGAAATTAAAAAGATCACTGAGGTAAGACTTTCTTATCATAAAGAGGTAATAAGGTAATTAAAATGGGTCTAGACAGGGGCTAAAAGTGTAACAGACACCAAGCTACAATTAGGGTTGATGAATACAAGAAAGATGGGACAAGGAATGTGTATACACAGCACAGAAACTGTACATCCAGCAAAAACAGAGTGGCTGAAAGAGCAGCTAGTAGAAAATCAGCCTGTCATTTAAACCTGGGGGCAGATGTGAACCCAAGCGGATTATATGCTTGGTTTCCTGTGGTGGATTTTCTTTTTTCCCTGCAACGTGTGTGCCTTCCCCTCCTTCCCCCCTGCTAGCTAGCGTCTTGGAAATTCTGCTGAAGGACACTAGCTGATCAGAGAAACCATGGTCATTGGCAGTAATATAGGACATGCCTGGTTTTCTGTGTTCTCTCTATCAAATAGTTCTGCAATAGTCTCAGTAGTAGGCAGTCAGGTCTCCATATTTTAGACAAAAGCAGAGTTGACCTAAACACAGCCAAGAGGTTGCTCAAATTAGGGTCAATTAAGAACGAGAAGGACGGTGAGTCCAAGAGGAGGGGCATGTGACTGAAGTTCCTTTGGCCAAGTGCAACTCCAGTTTATTCACATAAACTCTCGTGAAATTCCTGAGAATTCCAGGGAAATTAGATGGATTTTACAGAAAACAAGTGTAAATGCGTCAGAAAGTGAATGCTAAAGCAGATCTTGAAGTCAGCAGTTAGAGCAAGACCTAACTGATGTGGGAGTGCAGACAGGTCCAGATGGCTTAACTAGGCTGTAACCAAGCACTGAATTTCAAACATGGCTCTCTCCAATCTTAGTCTACATTTAATAATTTTTATATTTTTTCCTTTAATTTTTAAAAAATATTAATTTATCTGTACTACTATAACAAGGATCAGGGTCACGTTGGACGGGGCTCTGATCAACCTGATCTAGTTAAAGATGTCCCTGCTCATTGCAGGGGTGGTTGGACAGATGACCTTTAAAGGTCCGTTCCAACCCAAACTATTCAATGATTCTACGATTCTAAGGAGCCTAAAGCAATGAATTAAGATTTTCAAAATTACTGTAAAATACACATAACTTTAAAATTATATATGTAACACCCTGATGCAAACCTTAAAGAACCCTATATAGACTGTTCTCCATTTAACTGTTAAAGCACCTGATAAAAAACCTGCTTGACTCTATTCCCACTTAAGTCATTTATTTCAGGTGAGATTCCACTAATTTCAGTGAAGTTAACTCTGATTTACATCACTGTATGCGACAGCAGAATCACATCCACTGCACGTTCCACAGAGAATCCTCAATTTCCTGAAGAAGGTCCATGGAGGAACAATTTTTGCTACATTTAATGAAATGGCTAAATGAAATGATATTTTATCTTAATGAACAATATTTTATCTTAATTAAAACACCTGGAGATCCTGAAGTTCTGATGAATGAATGGATCTGTAACAGCCTCTTACCCACAGTCTATCTCTCTCTTCTTCCTGGGTTTTATATATGCTAAGCAGACATTTGAAAGATTGTACCTCTGATTTCTATCTCAGCATCTTACAAATTTGATGGTCTTCACATAATTTAACTCCACTTTTATATCAGCTTGATATCAGAAGCAGGAACGTACTGCTTCAGCACATAAAAGTTTTGGTTTGGTAATTTTCTTGGTTTACCAGAATTACTACCAAGAAGTAAAAACCCTTGTAACACTAGTCAATACCCGTCTTTCAACATGTGTCCAGGGGCTAGCAGTAAGGAAGAAAAATGTTTTTTTTTTTTCCCTTTGAAAATTAGATATCCTTTTGATTTCAAGTCCTTAGGGATCCATTCCACATTTCTCATGTGTGACACTGTTTTGCAGCACGGTCACCCATAGTAACACAAAAAACAACTGACTATGGGAACTGGGTGATCCTTGGGGTTAAATTGAAGAATGGACCCAACAAAACTGCCAGCAAAATTCACTAGGTCCAGCAAGAACAACTTGGCAGCTCTCACCCAGGAATATCTATTGGTAACAGTTACTCTTCGCCAGCAGCTAGACTTGTTCATCTGAATGGCTAGATCAGATTTCAAGGCTATTCAATTCTTTGTTTTAGAGTCAAATGACATTCTGTCATAACTGTTCATAAGTTACACCCTTTGCATACTGTCTTCATCTCTTAACTTGTAGAAGCATATCCTTTGAAACCATCACATCACATTTTACCAGTTGCCAAATGGACTTACCTCACTTGTTAGCTGCTAGAGTAATAAGAATGACAACAATAAGCCAGCGAATATAGCTTTCTATCATTTTTCAGCAAAACCAACGTATTTTAGAAATATTTTATTTTGGATATTCTCTCCAGCGACACTTACTTAACAGCAGGATATGCTTCAGGGCCTCAGCTGGGACCTTCACACCCAACAGAAAGGGATATTACTGCAATGCAGCAGGTGCAGGCTGTAAGCTTAAAAACATCTTATCTGGTGGCCTTTAAAATTTGTTTGTTTCAGAGTTTTGACATTCACTTATTCCTTATTTCCCAACCATTATCCCACAAGTTCACCCTCCTGAGACGATCCCTCTCTTTCAGGAATCAAATACTGTGTGTGGTACATGGAATCTGGCTTGTAAAAAGGCATCCTCATGCCTGTTGACAGTCAGGAAGGTGACAGCAAACAAAACTAATTAAGTTGGGGAGGGAAGAGGGTTTCAGAAGATAAATTTGGTCTCGGTTCTTATTCATCGACAGGCATCTCAGAAAACATTTAGAGTGGACAGAAGGACATCATCAAAAGAATAGCAGCTGGAAATGAAACAAGGCTGGGTTGGTCTATTGTCTCACTCCTAAAATGTCCGGCAAACTTTCCTTGAAGACCAAGAGGTGTTTACGGAACCTTGTGATAACAGCTGCAAAATCAACCAAGCTGCAGTTTCTCTTGTACTTTTTAACTTCCTCCTTCATGGCCCTGTCCAAATTCAACCACCTTAATAAGCTTTACTTTGTAAGCTTGATTTTCTTTCAAATTCAAGCACCTTTCTCTCCTTATTTTTTATCCTTTATTTCCTTTCAATGTACCGATTTACCCCAGGAATCTCCGTAAGGTAAAACAGGGCCAATACACTTAGGTGCAGAATTTTGCCTAGTATCATATCGTACAGTATTATACTCCACGGTTTTTATTTCATGTGGGCCTTCAAAATATAGTTTGGATGTTTTTCTTAGACCGAGCAAGCCCCCACCCTTCCCTGCCTTCTTACCAATAAGCCCCGAGTAAGCGAGAAGGCAGTCAGCATAGTTCTCCTTCAGACAGCTACTAACAGACCGTGACTCAGGCTGGCAGTTTGTGAAGAAATCTGCAAGGCGAGATCTGCAACATGAAGAAAAATGCGTATCTTTAAAAATCAAGCCTGCAGGCACTCTTTGCTTTTACACTCTTTTTTTTTTTGGACACGGCTTAATATTATTTAACTTATATATTGGACACATTTCAGCTGATGAGAGTCTCTTTCTAAAAGCATCTCTTTCCAGAACCCATTTTTGAAGTCAGAACAAAAAAGTGTAAGAAAACAGTAAAAAGGGACAGAACAACAGGGAAAGGCCTGCCCTTTACTAAAAGAAATGCTCTGCATTTTCATGCCAAAAAGACTACAAAGAGCAACTTTATCATATAGGCAGTCATTTTGCCTGGATGGGAACTCTAACTGGAACCTGTTCATGCTACAGATTCACAACACAGTTTCTGCTGTTTTACTGATTACACAAAACTGTATGTTTGTGCTCACAGAGTCCCCTTACTACATGACTTGAGGCAGGACCTGCTTTGGTCTGCCCTGAGTTTCCAGGGAATAGGCTTACCCCTACTCCGGACTGCAGAACCAGCTGGCTGAACTGGGGCAGCAGGCAGGTCCACATGGCACGGTCTCCATAGCCCCCCAGAGCCATGGTACTGAGGATCTATTTATTGTTGTAAAAAGTGCATTTACCCGAAGCCTACAGTATTGAGCCCAGGGCTGAGATGGGAATGTGTGCTTGCATCAAGTTCTGCTGCTGAATGGCCGTAATATCTTCACTTACCTCAGTTACTGCATGTCCAAGAGGGAGAGAGCACTGCTTACTTATAGAAAGTGCTTCAGCACTAGGATTGAAGCTGTACTGCAACTAGCAGACTACTACTACTTTGGAAAACAAAAAAAAATGGACTAGCAGCCAAGAACTCTTCTGGGTATTTGTGCTTTAAAGGCCACATAATGCTCCCATTCAGGTCCGTAAAATTTGAGAGGTATCACTGAGGTGGGTCAAGGTCCCACATCCTACAGCCGCGCTCCTGCCTATCTTGGCCTGCTCTGCTCAGCTCCACTCACGCCTTCACTTAGGCTTGTAAACTTGGAGCAGTGGCTTTTGTTTATTTATAAAGTGTCATTTAGACCTTTATCTCCATGAACAAAATTATTTAACCTCCCTACTTCAATCTTCTCTTCTGTGAAAAAGGGATGAAAATGTTCTTTTCCATATAACAATTCACAGCAGTGTTTCAGGATCAGGTGCTTAATCTTTGCAAAGCCCCCTCAAAATCAGAATAGTATAATCTATGCATTTTCAGCACTGCTCTAGCACTGTATAGATTTGCAACATAAATGTTCTTTTTTAGTTTTGCAATAAAAACACAAAAGTTAGCAGAAACAATGATTTACTTTATTTGTTTACGTGCTCCAGAGACTAATTATCTTTGTTTGCTTTATTGTTTTACCTGTCTTGGAATGGGATTGGATCTACATCATTAATTGGCCTGAAAGTAGTGATGGGCAAACTTCAAAAGGTTCACAGGCTTAGTTAGAGAAAGCATCCTATAAATAGACTGTGTGCAAACTGTACCTGAATTTATCTGAGCTATTCTCATGACCTCTTTTCAGTTCCACCCTTCGCTAACTGTACTGACACCAGCAAATCCATGGCTGCCTTTAAACCAGAGTCAACTGCAAGCTTTTCACTCCCTCCCTTCCCTTATTTAACCATTTAACCTCGTGAGGGACATTTGTATCCAATTGCTTTTAATACTTTGAAAAGTCAAGCTCTCTACCAACCCTTCAAGAGACCCTATATGTATACATAATCTCTAAATTTCCACAAAATCCCTACTTTGCTGGTGTACTACCAGGGGACAGGCTGAGAGGAAATGGATTCCAAAGTATGGGAAGAGATAAATAGCAGTACCATGAAGAAAATCTGGGCAAGGAAACCCTATGTCACTGCAGTGATTCCGCTCTCAGTCAATAATTAAAATAGTGGCTTGGATCCAGCATTCTGAGCAACTGGGAACAAAGGCAGTTGACAGTTTCTACGGTTTTTACAAATTCTACTAGTACCTGGATGAAGTCTGTTTTAGGACAGAAGAGAGCTTTTCACATCTATCTAGTATGAAAAACCTGTGCCACGGTAGAAGGAGCAAGCCTGTTCCATTTAAAGTATTTTTGTGTTTCTGAAACAAAGTAGCTCCTCAGATTTAAATTTCATTATTTATTTATGTGACCACAAATAAATCTTTTTGGAGCTGCAATTATACAATCAGCATCTTGAAAATCCTGAAAACATTTCTTGCAACCATTTCATCATTCTCAAATGTCCAGTTCTCCCTTAGATTATTAGGTGCATTGGTCCAGAGATCATTTAATACATTCCTCTTCTCTAAATGTTTTTAAGGACTGATAACTATGGAATAATATCAGTCATTTACTACCCAGTCTGCTTAAAGAATTTATTTGTTGTAAACCCTAAAGGAGGCTAAAAATCGCTCTGCTGATCCCTCTTGCATACAGATTGATTTCTATGTTCATTTCTGAAGAATTTTTGTGGTCATAAAAGGTAATGAACTGACAATGTTGCACATTTAAGTTTTCATAAGCCAAATATAGTTCAGATACCTCTGGTCCAAGCATTACTGGACATCATCATACACCTCCTCCCTAGTGAGCCATCCAAACTTCATACTAGCAAAGTTCTCACTCTCTCCTGAGCTGCTAACTACGCCTGATATTTATGCGGATTCATTTCCACTGGAGATAAAGTTAAGGCCAGCAAATAAAAACAGAGACAGACCTCCATCTGCCATAAAATAACTCTGCCATTTTCAGTGAAGAGCTAGCCCCAAACATTTCCAGTAGACTGGCACTGATGAAAGTGCGTTCATCAGCAATACCAAAAGAGTGGAACCGTTCTTTATCTAGGGAGACACAGATTAGCCTAATTAGGAACCGTAGAATCGCTTATCATAAAGAATTGCACATTATATTAAGAACTATTTGGGTAAAAGAGACAATCCATTTTGGGATGCTGAAAAAGAGCAATCAGAAGATAGCAGTCCTATAAAAAATATGCATACTGTGTTAACTAGGAAGCAACTTGTGGGTAGTAGATTGCGGGTAAATGTCCAACCCATGACCGAGCAGTTTGGTAATCTCAAGAACAAACAGAGCTTGCAATACGTGTGCCTTCAAGTGTGCACCGTTTTCCATGTGCAATGTACGTACACGTAGCTATTTGCTAGGTGGTTGGCTAGAGAGACAGGCAGTTTTATATTGTACATAACATGTAGGAGGACCAAATTTTAAAGGAACTATTAATTTCTTTTGCTGTTGAAGAATCACAAATCCTCTCTGTGCACAGCAGCATTAATGATTTCTTCTCTTCCTTTGCATAAAGAAAGGAACTGAAGAACCACACAGAAATCTTCTTCCTTGAAAGAAAAAAAATTCCTCTCTTTGTAGGGA